ATTATTTTGCACACCCCTAACCAGTGCGAAGTCTTTTTTGCAGCTATTTTTCTTTCTATGGTTTTCTTAGTGTGTTTGATTTGGTGATAAGTGGAGGCGCTGCAGAGACAAGGGTGGAACTAAACTGAGAAATACCGGCTGTTTCTATGTAACTCCATTTTGACGCTTTGTGTTTCGCGTTTCGCATGTGTGACTCCACTGCCTTAATTCCCATCGTTCTGAGCTTGAATGACTTCTTGCACTAAATCCACTGAGCCTCATGTATGTTCCCTGGTTGTAGCCATGGAGAAAACTCTTGGCTGGAGACAATTATTGTTACATTTACACTTGCTCATATTTTCTAGACAAAAAGTTAATGGCGTATTTGACAAATGTCCCGGCCGCAACAACGCTTTAATTGGTTCCGCTATCGGGACGGAACCAATAATGGCGAGCCACTATTTATTTTTTTTATAAAAAAAATAATACATTTGCAAATTTTAACGTTTTATTTAGATTACAAAAATAAATCGTAATAAAAATAATCCTATTTATGATGTTTTAAAAATTAAGACCTACGAAAGGCTGATTTAAGACATTTTAATACCAATTAAGGCCTTAGTTTTATTTTGAAGAATTCAATGCCTTTTAAGACTTTTTAAGGACCCGCGGGAACCCTGGCTAACACACTTTCCTGGAGGTTTAGGTCAGAGCTGTTCGTCTAACCCACATAATCCAGATTAAATTATTCCAGTTACTGTCTCCGCAAAAAACGATGGGAAGAAAAAGGCAACATCTGATTTAGATGCAGCTGCAGAGCCAAGAAGGAAGTCTCAAAGGTTGTCAGAGAAAGAGACGCAGGAAAAGCCAAAGCCAGAGAAGGCCCCTACGAAGACCAAAAAGGTGAAGGAGGAAACAAAGGCATATGTGGTAATGTGGCCTTTTTTTTCTCCCTTTTTTTTGAAGTTAACTGCGTGTCTTATTTTTGTTATTTGGATTTTCTTTGTTTTGAAGTTATTTACTTTTTTGTTAGTTTTACTTTTGGTTGTTGTGTTGCATGTTTTTCTGATTTTGTTTTGAGGTCACGTTACCACTCATACCTGGACATGCCCACAACAGCGGCACAGGTGTTTGCAGCGTGCAGACTGGGATGATAAAAAGGCAGCTGTTTGGATGAAGGGACAGAAGCCGGACATGGAGGGAGCCAGACAGAGCGGGTGAGGGAGCTGCAGACGGAGGGATCTGGAGACTGGTTGACGCAGGTGCGCTGGAGAGAACCGCATGCTGGAGGTGCCCTCACTTATGCCAGCTACGCTGGTGAGGCCCACACGTTGGAGAGAGGACCGAGCGGTGTATAGATGACCACGCGTTGAAGACAGGACCGCGCGTTGAAGAGGAACCGCGCGCTGGGGTGGACCGCATGCTGGAATTATTGAACTTTTATTGACTAGTCCTTTTAAAGCTCTGCTCACAGTCACCGCAGTTTGTTTTGTTTTATAATTAAACCTCTCGGGTGCCACACATAGGCAGTGGATAAGAAAGAAGGAGCCCAGGCAGAGAAAGAAACTCCTGCAGAAAATGGAGAGGCCAAAGCTGAGGAGGCTCCTGCAGCAGAGGATCAGACAGATGAAAAGGAAGACAAGCCTGAAGAGGAGCAGAAAGCAGCGCAGTATAGGAGTCGGTTCCCTGTTCTTTATGTTGTAAAATGCAGAGAATATTTTTTATCAACTATTTTCTTAAGACTGCATTGTTTTAAAGGCTGCGGTTGCATTTTTAAAATTCTTTCCAAAGCTTTTGGGAAGGGATAGATTTTGTCGTTGTGGATTTGGCCGGGGCAGGATGCGGCTTTAGAAGATCTAGTCAAATCCTGCACTGCTTGTCAGCAAATCCGGAACGCTCCCCTGGCAGCGTCCATGTCCATGGGAGTGGCCTGGAAAACCTTGGACGCGCCTACACATTGATGATGCCGGCCCCTTTTTAGGGGTTATAACTATATACATACATATCAGGCCAAAAAAAAAAATTGGTTCAGCCTCGCAGTTAGTACCCACCCTTTCCGGTTGAATTCCTCAAATGATCATTTGTTTTGGGACTTGTAAAAGTGTTTCAAATGTTTTTTATTTGTTTTCTTAAAATGCTATTTGTTTAGAATTTTTAAAAGTGTTTTCTTTGTTTTTATTTATTTTTTAAAATGTAAATTTGTTTTCCAAAATGACAATTTGTTTTGGAACTTGTAAAAGTTTTTTAGATTTTGTACTATTGGTTTGCACCTCCCGGCCGGCGGCCATTGTAAGAACCAGCCATGGTGAGGAATGATGACACCGTGGCGAGGTGCACTGTATGCGGAAGACCCATGAAAAACAGAAAGCACAACTGATGTTTAAGGCTACAAGATTGAAAGTATTGAAAATAAAAGACCAATACTGTTCTGCTTAGTGTTTAAGAAAATACTGTAAACAGTTGTTGAAAAGCTGCTGGCCTTAAGTGTGTATGTATGGGGCACGGTTAGGGCGGGGTATTGTTCAAAAATTTTCAATACCGGTACCAATATCGATACCTTCACTTCGATACCGGTTCCCGAACAATACTTTTTTCTATACCAGTTTTATAATATCAATTCGAAGAAAAAGAAAATTACACAACATAATAAAGTTCAAATCTTGAGTTTTATTTTTAGCTCAGATTTTTCCATTCAAAGTACTCTCATATAAAAAAAATTATTTCCAGCGAAAAAGAACATTTGGAGACCAGTCAGTGTCTAATGCTCACTGTTAAATTCTTAGCAGTTCTTCTTCAGAAAGATTAACATGTCTGCTTTCTCAGGAGACAAACAAGCCCGCTCCTGGCTGATGGTGTCTCCAGCAGTAGAAAATGTACGCTCTGAGGGTGTGGATGATGCTTGCACACAGAGATACCTGGTTGCCAAGTTTGATAGCATTGGCATAGTGTCCCTCACATTCCACCACCAGGTCACTGCATTCACAGAAGTTGGGGTAGACGGTAGACCTCTGTACCGCTGGATCTCCTCTTGAATCTTGTCTGGGTAGCTAGAACTGTTCTCTTGTCTCATTTCAACTGCCATGTCTTCATCAGCAAATAGCTCCTCAAGAGCAGAGAGCTTTGGCTTTTTCTGTCAACAAAAATAAAAGAATAGATAGCAATTTAATTTTGTTATATAACATTAAGTAATGTGGGGAAATGGGATATCTTTGAATTGCTTTATTTTACCAGTGTTCCTACTGCAGCTCCACAGTCTTCATCAGAGGAGTTGTCATCACGGTGACCAGCTGTCCCCTCAACCTCCTGCTTCATCTGCTGGGCCTAAAAAATTAAAACTTCATTCAGTGTTCAATAGATTATAATGGGAGTCATATAAACAGACCTACATTTGAAGTGGAATAAAAATTATCAATCAGAAAAAACAAACACCTGTTGTGAGGTTCTACACATGAGCTCCTCTTGTATTCTGGTCCACACTTCTTCGCCTACTTTCATCTTGAATCTCGGGTCTAAGGCTGTGCCCTCCTCCAAGAACTGCCTGATTCTCTCATCCTGCTAGACAAAAGCAGAAATGTATATTAGTAGTCAGGATGTCTGAGTATAGTAAACCTAAAGAAAAAAATATGCAACATACTTGGTATCTTTTTGAGACATCACCCCAGATCTTTTCCTTGATAGCTTGTGTGAAGGAGGTGTCCTCATCAGTAACTGTGAAGCGATGCTGGAGCTTCCCCAAAATGGGCAGAATCTGGCCCAAAGTTGGACTCCTTTCAGCAGAGATGCAGACGGTTGAAGTATATAGTATCTTCATAACTCTGACAAATTGTTCTGCTTTTCTAAAATCCTCATCAGAAAGTCTCTCCAGTCTGAAAGGAAATATACACATTGTTGTATTAGTTAGAGCAAAGCCCAGCACATTGGTTGGTTTGATAAAAGAATAAGGTAATCCCACAATCTATCCTCATCTACAATACCTGTCCTTCTCCATTGATTTTTTTAACCGAGGGTCCATGGAGGCTGCCTGGATAGCAGGAAACTGCTCCAGAAATCGCTCCACCATCAGGAACAGGCTATTCCACCTGTTCTTCACATCTAAAATGACAGCATGTTCTGGAAGACCTAAAGAAAGATGGTGTGTGTGGTTTACAAACAGGTTGTGTATTTGCTGTAATAGTTGAATGATTGACTTAGCCATATCATTTTGAAACTAAGTTTAGTCCACTTTGATTTCTACTAACCAAGAAGACGCTGCTTCTGTTTAAGGATAGGTTTGGCCAAGCTGCACCGTTTTAACCACACCACTGTAGCTCGGATTCTTCCTGCCCACTTTGAGATGACTGGTATAGTATACAGCTTTTGAGCAGCAATGTTTAGAGTACGAGCAAAACAGGCAATCTTTCTAATGTTAATTTTTTTCACTACTACATCCATATTAGCTGCATTGTCTACATTGATCGCAACAACTTTATCCTTTATATTGAATTCATCAAGAATATCCCCTATCTCCTCGTCTATTACATCCCCTGTCTGTGATGTGTAGACTGCCCTGGTATGCAGGATTTTCTCCTTCATGGCCCCCTATCTCACAAAGTGGACTGAAACCGTCAAGTAATGGTCTTGTGCCAAACTGGTCCATCCATCCGCGGTCACAGCCACATCTCTGACGTCTCGCAATTCTTTCTTGACATTTTCCTTCTGTACTGCATACCATGCTGGTATGAGTGTATTTGACAGCATGTCTTTGCTGGGGGACTGGTATCTGGGGTTAAGGGCTGTTATCATCTCCCTAATTGACATATACAATACAATACACAAAACATCAACAATAACATGGCTGTGTAACTTTTGTTAAAAAACATGATCTAGGCTAAGAGAGATAAAGGCTAAACTGGTCAAATATATAACCTAAAGCTTACTTACCTCCACCATGGAGCCTCCACTATAGAAAAAGGCAGCAAACCTTTAACAACAAAGTTTGTGACTGCCCTGTGACACTGATCTTGTTTTTCTTTTGGCATCTTTGCCTTTTCTGCAAGTGTGAATGGATTTATGCTGACTGGCATTTTCCTCCTCACATCAGAGTCAGAGGCTACTGTGAGGAGAATATAAAAATAACAGTGAAGATAAGGTTAGCTGTGTAACCAACCAGCTGACCCAATGGATAAGCATATTTTTACAAACATGGACAAAGTAAATGTTAATGTTAGCTTTTGCACCTGTTACTGTAAGTTGCAGTAACGCTAATAATCTTAAACTTGCCTGTTGAAATCCCAGACACAGTGCCGTCCTCGGTACTCTTTTACGAGGCGGAGTCCGGTGGTGGATATTTTGAATCACTCGGAGTCGGCTCAGGTTTTGCGTTGCTCACGGGCTGCTGAGAGGAGGAGGGCTGCTCTGGCTGCGGTCCGCTCCTCTTGCAGTCAAACACTGTACAACCTTCGGCTCTTAAATTGATTCCGTGCACTATCAGGTGCTTCATCAAATTGGTCGTGTTGCCAGACTTAACAACAATGTCTTTTTTGCATATATTGCATTTCGCACTGTTGACATCAATTTTAATGAAGTGAAGCCACACTTTTGATCTAGATGGCATTTTCAAGCGGTACAACGATGCTCGCGACCAGATACACACGTGAACCCCGTCTGTCGGCGTAACCACGTATGTGTTTTTCCTGGGTGACGCAATCACGTTTAACGCTACAGCAAAGCATTTCGGTCGGTACCATAAGAGAACCGATGTTCGGTATCCAGCCCTAGGCACGGTGCGGGTCCGTTGTCCCCGGGAGTTGTGATTTTTTGGAACTTGGGATGTCTGGGATTAGATGATAGCAATTTCATTTTAGCTGATACAATTCTAGTGAATGTTAACCTAGGGCTGGGCGATAATTCAATAACGATAAATATCGATCGATAGACGTGTGGCGCAATAGAAAAAAAGAGGGTCGATAAAAGTTTCGATAAAAAA